TTATGTCTGAAATTTCTCAATTTTTCTGTAAATTAAATCGCAATATATGCTACATGTTTGTTTCAGGTACTACTATTATCATCTATTTAATGATTTTTATAAATTTGTATATATAAATCTTTCTCTTTTCATTTGATTTTAATATTTTACGTATATATATTTTCAACCTAGCATTATCTAATTCATGACAGAAATATATATAACACATATGGAACATGTGGCAGTACTTCATATATTTACATAAAAAGAATTAGACTTAATTTCTTAGAACCTATCAATAAAATATGGATTATCCACATATACATATATGGACTTTATTGTGCATCAAATTCTCCTTATAACTGGATATCATATGAAATGCATATGGCATTCCATTTGACTGCTCCAGAACTACGAGCTATCCTATTCCACATCCAAGTATTTGCCAAGTAAATAGATCAGAGTTTATAGTTGGCTAAGGTAATTGTAATTCTATAACTATAAACATCGCTTGGATCGAGTCGATTTCATTCATTCATGAGAATCGCGTTACTGAGAATATCATTCGGACTGACGGACTTTGAACACATCAGAACTTTCATATGAATATGTACATATATATATATTTAGTTTCAACTTATTGATAACCCTATTTACATAAATATTTTTAGGTTTTTATTCAATTGTTTATAGGATTGTGTCTTTTTCTATCTTTGTGAGCTTACCATTGAAAATGTTGTTGGGTCTACGAATCCAAAAGCCGGTGGCTCTATCGATCGTCGTTGCCAGGTGGTTTACGAATGGAAATATTTATTACATTCCCATTAGCATACACAGATATACATATACATACATACATACATACATACATACATGTATACAGTATATATATATAGAGAGATATATAGGTATACGATTTATATTATATGTATATACAATTCAGGTTTATAATCTGTGTTTTATTTCTCTTAACATTCCTCTAATGCGTTACTTTTTCGAACTCGAAATCCAACTCGAACTCGAACTCGATTATTTGATTTGTTTAATTTTCGAATTTGCATTTTTAATCTCGAAACGATTCTTGGAAAATTTTTGGACAAAAAAACGCACACATAAAAACAACACGAAAAAAACGAGCGACGGGTTTTTAATTATTTATATACATACATACATACATACGTCTATGTATATACATACTGACATTCATATTATTATTTCTTATATTTGATTTGTTATTGATTTTTCTTTGTCTCCAGAAAAAAAAGTATAAAAAAATTCGATTTGCGACCAGCTAAACAAAACCAAAATATGTATATGTAAATTTATGGCAGAAGAAGAAGAAAAATTTATAAAATTATGCATACACATATGATATAAGCATGTGCGTGTATGTGGGGCCACATATATGTATACATATATATACATATGTACATATATGGATAGATGTGTTTGTGTGTGGATAGAGCGAACGAGCGAGTGGGGGCCGGGCGGGGTCGGGGGCGTTTGTCCGTTAGCCAAAAACTTTTGCAGGGCGGTGCCGCAAAAATAAAATGCAAAAAATATTTTAAGCAAATTGCACACATGGGCAATGCGTTTGTGTGTGCGTGTGTGTGTGTGTGGCTTGGCTTTGATACGCCTTTGGCGCTTTTTATGCCACACTTCCATTTAAATTTTTCTTTTACACACGCACACAAGCCGCTCAACTGGCCCAGCTGTGCATAAAAAACAATTTCAATTTATTATATAAAAAAAAAAAATACAATCTATGCCACTTTAAAAAAGCACACACAAAAGCAAAGGAAAAAAATTGAAAAAAATTAGAATTGGAACGCAGACGACGTCAGCAGCAGCAGCAGCAACACACACACACACACACGCACAAAACAGAATACACTGTCAATGCGTAAGAGCGAGAGACAAAGCGAGCGAGTGAGCGAGCGCACAATACACAGGCACACACACACAGAAGTACGAAAAAAAAAGAAAAAAAAAACTTCCAACAATTTGCGCTGCGTTTTTATTTGCGACCCTTCTCACTTTAATATTCGCGCATAGATCAGCATTGCATTTGGGCACAGTGAAAAAAAAGTTATATATGCATATGTATGTATGCATGCACACACATCCATACATACACACTCAGGCAACGGCAACGTAGCGTGGGGGCAGTAAAACGCGACGCAATTTTCCAATGAGTTGTTATTTTCATATCCATTTTGCCTACATACATATGTATATATATTATATATATAATATATATATATACGCACTCACACACAGTCGCAAGCTCACAGCGCATACAGGCAGGCACAGCTATAAAAATACACACATATGAATATACATATGTACATATGTATAATACATATTTATATATGTATATACATGCACATATATAAATATACTGTTATATATGTGTAGGCGACACAAAAGCACAACATTTTTTACATTTTTTTTCTTTTAGTTTGGATTTGATTTAATTTGAATTTTTCTTCTTCTTTGCTTCTATTTCATTTTCATTTTATTTTTTATTTATTTTATTTTATTTTTTTTTTATATATATATATATTTTTTTTTGTATGGGCGGCTCTCGTTTGGTTTTCTTGATTCGGATCTCATTATTTTTTCATTCCGTTATTGTTGGCAATTTAATTGCGTTGCACGTTTACCTTGTTGTTGGTTTTGTTTTATAGCGACGATTTTCATAATTTTTATCGTAAACTTATTATAGATAAATTCGCAACGTATTTGCAAACCGTCTTATACTTTTCTTTACATGATCAGCACGCGCTGCACACACCCGAGTTTTCAGGAGTTGAACAACACATCTACATCTATAACGACTATAACGGCGACGACGCCGCTGCTGGTGCTGCTGCCGTTGTTGAATCCGATGTTGGGTCGTCAAAGATTGCCGAACATCGAGCATCCGACATCGAACTCGAACCGTTTGAGCAAACACAGTTCGAAGCCGGCGATGTGCGCGACGGCAAAGAATGGCTTAGCGAACAGAGCTCGCTTAACAGTAAGGCGCCAAAATATTGGGCATAGCTACTAATACGGGTAGACTGAATGTTGATTTGTTCAAAATTTAACAACAAAGGACAAATTACATGCAATTGAATTGGCCCCATCAATGCGCCATGACATTACATCCGATTTAAATAATAGACATAGTATGTACACACATACATTACAATTTAGTCATATACATGCATACATACATATGTATGTATGCATGTAACAATATGGCCGCATGTTCACAACTAACAAGCCTGGCACAATTTGCAGCCTGGCACTGTTCACACTTTTATGGCGTTCGTTGCATACAACTCTAACTGATGCTGACTGACGCTGACTGTCAAATCTTTTGTATTTTCCGCTTTGATTTTGTTTCGCATCGTTTTTTGCCAATTTTGCGCAGTGAAAGTGAAACACAAACACAACTGCAGCCAATGCGCTGCGGCAGGTTGCCTGCAAAACAACAGCAGCACGCATGTTCGATGCTCGATGTTCGATGTACACGAAAATTCAATGTGTATTGCTGGCCTGCTTGTTTCTGTGCGCGCGCTAATGTTTCAGGTCTATTAATATTGTTTTGTTGTTGCTATTATTATTATTAGGCGGCTGCCTGCTGATGCTATGATTGTTGTTGCAATTGTTGTTGCTATTGTAGTTGTTGTTGTTTTTGACTTTTGTGCAATACACTCGTCCGGCTCGCGGCCTCATTGCTGTCATGCAACATATCTCTCAACGTAACGTAACGTTGCCAGTTTTCAACAACTAACTCGAACCTGTGAAGTGCGGCAACGTTGCTCGCCAGCGCCCATACACTTGTGCGACTGTGGTGACGCCGACACCGACGCTGCCGCTGCCATCAGCGTCGACTGCGACTGCCGCCGCATGACCAACGTTGCTGTTTATAACATAAATAAATAAAAAGCAAATGGTAAAAGCAAAGATTAAAAGGCAATGCAAAGAAGCAGAAGCAGAGACGCAATGACGACGATGGCGACATTGTTGTTGTTGTTGTCGTTGTCGTTGTCCGCTTTAAAAGGCAGCAGAGAAAATATGAAAATAATGATAATGAAAATAATAATGATGATGAGAAGGAATAAACAGCCATGCCATGCCATACCATGCCGGCACCAACAGCAACTACAAAAACAACAGCATCATACCGAACGACTATTCGTTCATACACGTTGTATTTGCATGACACTCTCGCTCAGTCACAATCATTCAGTTTTCAGTTGGAGCGAAGCCATTGCAGCAGCAGGCAGCACACATACACACACACACACACAGACTCACACACTCACACTTACATAAAAAAAAAAACTCGCACAAACAAACAGGCAAGCAAGCTAGCAAGGAAGCAAACGAACACGCAGAATTAGACAAATGACGTCGCCCAATTTGTATGACGAAAAGGAGGTAATGGAGGAGTTTATTAGCTGCTACCGCCACTTCACGGCACTGTGGGACAACACCACCATCGATTATCTGTCGAAGAAGAAGAAGGCGCCTGGCTATCAGGAGCTGTTGAAAATTTTGCGACGTGTCAATCTTGAGGCCAGCATACAGGATGTGAAGCGTAAAATCAATTCGTTGCGCTGCTGCTATAGGCGCGAAATACGCAAAATTCAATCGTCGTACAATGGCTACGAGCCGCGCTTGTGGTGGTTCCATCTTATGGACTTTCTTAAGCCGGTGCTCAATCTGAACTATGACACTACATCGCGCATTAAGCACGAGATCAAAGACTTGGACGATAGCCTCGATGAGGCGAGCATGCATGTAAGTCTAAGAGCGAAATGCAGATAACGCGTGGGAAAGCGAATAGACCAGGGGGGTTGGTGGAGAGTGAGAGAGAGAGAGAGACAGAGAGGAGGCAACGCTAACTATCTGACAGCTCGAGCGCTTGTGTGTATGTGTGTGTGTGTGTGTGTGTGTGTGTCAGCGCTTGTTTGTTTCAGATTTTCTGTCTGTCTCTCTCGCTCTCTTTGCACGGGTACGTTCGGGTTGCATGTCGTGTGGGTTGGACGACGAGCGCTGCCGTCGCTTGTGTCGTACGACCGCGTTGGACGACAGTTCAATAATTGCCTGCCATGGACTCGCACCATGTGCGCAATACGGAATTTTGGAGAGTTTTCTTTCGGCTTTATCGCTCCATGCCGGAGCTTTGGCTGACCAATTCGAAAGATTATCGCAACCGTAAGCTGAAGGCGCAATCGTATGACCGCCTCCTGTGCCACATGCGCACGAGCGACCCGCACGCCAACATCCACATGGTGAAGCGAAAAATCAACAATCTGCGCACCTCCTACCGACGCGAGCTGCGCAAGGTGCTCGAGAGCAGGGCGTCGGCCAATGGGGCTGACGGCGGCGAGGAGTATGTGCCGTCCTTGTGGTACTACAATGAGCTGGAGTTTCTCTACGACCAGGAGACGGGCGAGGCGCAAACAATGATTGATGCCGAGCCTGAACATGAGCCGGATTCGAAACCAGAACCCGATGAGGAATCCGAACCGGAGTACCTAAAAGATGCCTACAGTGAAAATGTGGTAGAAGTGTCCCTGGATGAGCAGGAGCAAGTGAGTGAGACACACGCAACAAAAGAACAGAAGAGAGAGTGAGAGAGGGAGAGAAAGGGGATAATTAGCTTGGCATAGAGAAATACCCTGTACGAAATGTACAGAGTATATGCTCGTTGACTCAGATGAAATGAGGGTATTTTATACACATACATACATAGCTAGAGAGAGATGGTTTATATAACAAATACATAGATATTTGACTAAAATACGCTGTGAAAAAGTTCTTAGCCAACTTAATACAGGGTATCTGTTAGTCGACTAAGCGTTAAGCATTTCCAAGTTTATTTTTGGCTATTTTGATGACTCTTTGCAGGACGAGGACATTTTCGCCGAGCCCTTTGCGCCCGAGGAGGACATGTTGGTCATCGAAGGCGAGGCCGACGCTGAGGGCGTTCTTGAAGGTGACGACAATCACGATGGGGATGGCGACGGCGACGGCGACGGTGACGGAGACGGAGACGGCGAAGGTGACGTTGATAACGCAGTAGAAGTCGAGGACGAGGAGAATGGCATCAAGCATGACACGCTAAGCGAGGCACGTCAAAAATGCGATCCAAAAATGGATAGCAAATATAAGCAGCATTCCCATAGCGGCAACAACAACAACCATACCAACAATAACACCAACAACCACAATAACAACAGCAGCAGCAACAGCGGTGCCGGAAAACATGTGCATCCGCATCCTTATGCCTCAGCACGATTGCAGCAGCAGCAGCAGCAGCAGTCGCAGTCGCGCCGCAGCATGCGTCGACGTCAGCACAGCACCGACGATGACGGCGACTACGGTGGGGGGAGCGCAGCAACGGTCAGCAAAAAACGCCGCCAAGCGATCAGGGAGCGCAGCATTGAGCATACGGAGAGCGAATGCGAATTGATTGGCAAGCGTATGGCCGCGCATTTCCGAAACATGCGAGCCGATCAGCGTCTCTTCGCCGAGCGCATCATCAGCGAGGTGCTGGTCTACGGGCGCATGAACCGGCTCTCTCTCGACGCCCGCTTCCTGCCCAACGGCACTGGCGGCGATCTCTATGCTGAAGATAATTTCAAATAGTGTAAGGATATAAGATAGAGAGAGAGAGAGAGAGAGAGTTAGCTAGTGAGAGAGGGAGTGAGGTGAGGAGAGCACAAAAGAATACAAGAAGTGTTTGTGTGTGACACTGGCTTTAGTCATAAAGCGCCAATTAGAGCAGCGACAGCGACAACTGAATAAAAGCAAAAGCAATTGCGCGACAATGTCCAGGCGACAAATGTGTCCGAAATGATGTTCCAAAAGTACGCGTACAAATGATTTATAATACAAATATACACATTAAGATAATATGAGACCAATAACATAAATTCAAAATAGCAACATAATTCAATTGCAATGATCAATATTTCAAGCCACCAGTTTGAAATCTTGGCCGAATATGAAGAACATCAAATTCACATAATAGATACAAAAATCATTGCAATTGTATTTTTTTAAATAATAGAATAAACTTATCTTTGGTACAAGAAAACCTCAATGTAACAAGAGATAAAATGAATGAATTCACTATAAGTTCTGTGATACTTCTGATTGTAATTTCGACTTCTAATCAATGATATATGTATATGTACAACCTACATGTTACAAAATAAACCGCAGAGTTTTATGATACAACAACTATAGATTTCTAATTGTAAAGTTTAAGACTTGGTATGACATTGAAATGTTGCTTTGCATAAAAAACCTTTTAAATATGTATATTGCGACATTTTTGTCGGCTGGCCAAAGCCTAAGCTTTGTCTCAAATGCAAAAGCAAAAGAAAAAAGAACCGTATAGTCCGCGAACCGGTTTTTAATCATTTTAGATTTGCGAGCAGGCAACTCAGCTCTGTCATCTCTGTCGCACTTGCAGCAACCTCCTGATGTGCGACCCCTTCCTCTGCACAGCGGCTAGGCAAAAGCAACAACAACAACCACCGACTAAGCCTTGCTTCTCGATATTCTTATTGCTCTTGCTGCTCTTGTTTTTGCTCTTGTTCTTATTCTTGTTCTTGTTCCATGTCGCTGTGCATTGGCACAGTCTCACCGCGCCGCTGCGACTCTGCTTCCACGCTGTGCAAGAAATTTCGCTCGTTTTTCTTGTTCTTGTTATTTTGTATTTTATTTTTATTTTTATCTCATTTTTGTATACATTTTTTTCCTTTTGCTTTTTGTGTCTTTCTTGCTTTAGTAACTTTAATTTGCTGCCATTGCCGTTGGGGTCCGTTATGCCGAGTCTCTCTCAACTCTAACCCCCAGGCACCTACACTTGCATACATACATACATACATACATGTAAGTGTGTGTGTATGTATGTATGCATGCGTGTGTGTGTGCTTACTTGCTTGTGCATAGGACAGCTGCCTTGGAATTGGGATAGTCATCTGAATCTGAGTCAGCTTGAGCTTAAGCTTTACATTCAGCTAGACAACAACACGCTGCATTTAATACCATCTGTCTGTCTTTCTCAGCAGCAAGAAGCAGAGGATGACGAAGAAGAGGAAGAAGTCGGTGCAAAAATAGAAGTTTGTATACATATGTACGTTCATACATACATACATACATACACATGCTGTACAAGCAGCAGCAGAAGAGCGCCCAAAGCATGGCAGGCTTTGTTTTTCCTTTTCTTTTCTTTTTTTTCTTTAGCAGCTTTGTTACAGGTTTCACCTGCTGGCGGCTTCAAGGAGTGCCCACTGTATTGCCAAAACTTTCCATAATATTTTTAAAGGTTGGAAAATACCTCGGGCATAGGAATTGTATAAGTATATATACATATGTATGTATGTACATATGTATGTTCTATATACAGATGTACATACATACATATGTATGTATGTGTGTGTGTACATCATAGATTAGTGCGAAGCTTTCGTTTAGGCAATCTTTAAGTAACTTTTGGAAACTTTGTAAGTTGGCATTCGTACATACATACATACATACATATGCGCATTTGTATGTACAATGTCAGTTTGTATGTACTCAAATGTATTAACTCACAGCCGTTAGTTCAATCTTTCAATTATTGACAATGAAATTAGTATGCAGCAATCGGCGCTGAAGCAAGTTTTTGCTATAGTGAAAACACGTACATATGTTTGTATGTATGTATGTACGAATGCCATCCGAGTTACAGTTATACATAGTATACATATGTATGCAAATACATACTATGTATCTATGTATTAATGTGTGTTGCATATAGAATATCTAGACAATTATCTTGCCACATCAATAATTCCATTGAAAAGCTTTCAATTGTGTATTCAATTATCGGGAGTTGCTATCGATAGAATTTCAGTTGCATTGTCCGTAATGCTCCCACACACCAATCCATCCCATCTTATCCGCCCGCTAGCTAACAGCTATTCCATGCAATTTTTTTGCTGCTGATATTCTTTGTTTGTTGTATTTGCTTTTTTGTCTTATTGTTATTTGGCCACTTTCCTTATTCTTTTGCTCGCATGTGCGCGCAGCACACACACACACATACCCATGTTAATAGACACGTACATACATGCATGCATATGTGCGTATGTATATACATACATTGTGTGCATACATACATATACATATGTATGTACATATAAATAAAAGTTTTATGTCTTTCTTTGCCAGTCCGCGTTTGCTGCTGTTGTTGTTGCTGCTGTTTGGCATTAGCAATTCTCTTTTAAGTTTTTCGTCCCGTTTCCCGTTGCCCGCTGCCCATAGCCGGTTGTTGTTGTCATGGTCTTTAATTTCCCTTTGCTTGCCATTTTTACTGTTGCGGCTTTGCCCGCCGCCGTTCGACTTTGTGCCCAGCTCTGTTCCCTGTCCCTCCCCCTCCCGCGCACAACAACACAACAGCAGGTCATTAAAATAACTTTGTTGCCCTGTCCTTCCTGTGTTCATTTCGCCTTGCTCTGCATTTTTATTGCCGCTGTCTGCGTCTACGTCTTCCACGTCTTCGCCCTTCACTGGTTCTTTTTTTCTCTTGCTTTTCTTTTTTTTTTTTGCTTCTTGTTGTTGTTTGCGTTTGCTTTGTGTTTCTGGTTTTATTTTTTGCTCGCTTCTTTGTTGTTGTTGTTGTTGTTGCCGGCATTTAAGCCGGCGCACAATTTTAGGCAAATTACTGTGTTGGCTCAGCGTGGTCTTAGCTTTTGCTTTGTCATACAAAGTTGCTGATGCTGCCCCGCCTCTGCCTAGGCTACAATCAACCGCAATCAGCCAGCCCATCTGTAAGCGTGTGTGTGTGTTAGTGGTGGGGTGCATGGCACAAAATGAAAATGGCAAAACAAGGTCAAGTGTAGGGAGCAAAGTTTGTTTGAGAGCACACGTACACACATATACAAACAAAGAGACGCACGCACATGCACGCAAATACAAATTACACACACTTACAGACATACATACATATGTATCTGTATACATATGTACATATGTACATACATATATAAATTCATACATAAATAAAAACGAAAGCTTATACTCGCATAACTTTTTCATTAAGCTCAGTTGTTGTTATTGCTGCATTTGTTTAAATAAAAATTTGTCGGCTCCGCTTTTGTCGGTGCTAGCGTCGCTGTCACCGTCGCCGTCGCTGTTGCCATCGTACGCGACTGACTCACGCTCAACAGGCGGCGTAACAACATTTTGAGGTTAACTTTTTGTCATATTGACAACGAAATAATTTGCACAAAGGTGTGAAGTATTTGGGAGAGTTGAACTTGACATATGTATGTATGTATGTATGTATTGCGAAACCCAACAACGTCAACATCGACAACACCTGTGGCTGCGAATGCGACTGAGAGCACACTCACATACACATACACAGCCCCACACGCACAGCGCATTCTCATATGTTCATACATACATACATATTTATGTATGTAGAAGAAGAAAGAGAAAAACGCAATAATAAAATCGACAACAGAAACCAAAACAACCCTCAACAGAGATTTCCTGGCAATTTGCAGGCCTATGCTGCATCAACATCAGGGCCCAAACGTTGGCAGAAGCTCTGGTTCTTCTCCCACTGCTTCTGGATTGAACCCCATACTCACAAACGCACATGTATGTATGTATGTATGTGCTTCCCAAAAACCATAGAATCAAATCGGCAGCTGAAAGTGTAACCAAAATACAATCTCACACAAAAGCAAAAGCTACATTTCTACATACAAGCACACATGTACACACATGTGTATGTATTCATGTATGAATATGTATCTATACATACATGTGTGTGCGTATACAAATTATACATACATATATGTGTACATATATGTATATATATATACGCACACGTATGTATGGATGTATCTACACATAAAACAGCTACAACAACGTTGCAAAACGAAAAAGAAACCTAAATAAAAAATTAAATGGAAATTTCTGATATAAAACACAACCCACACTGACACAAACAGACATGCACACATACACGTACATACATACATATGTATATCTTTATATGTATATATGCTATATACATACTCTGGCAGTCAACCAAACGTGAACATGAACATAGCAGAATGAAGTTTGGCAACGTTGCTTTTGCTTGAGCAGCATAACAAAGCACTGTGCTGCTGCTTCGCTGCCAGCGGCAAAACGTAACGTAAGTTGAAATTCGACGTACAGTGGTTGATTACTATTTGTTTTCATTTTTTTAATGAAATTGAACAATTTAAAATTGTATTGTTTATCAAAATTATGATTAACTTAGATATTTTTACTATCAAACATATTTTTAAACGAAATTTTTAAAAAATATTTTTTTCTATCAATATATCGTAAGGGTCCACTGTGCGGTAGTAGACACACAACAAGCATGAGTATGGCGGCCTGTGTGACCGACGCGTCGCCGCAGCGACAGAGAACGCAGTGTAGTTTTTGCGCAGCGCACACAGCAACAGCAGAAACAGTGAAAAGAGAGACCGAGAGAGTGAAATAGATAAAGAACGGCGAGAAATGAGCTACCCAGTAGTGAATTGGCTGCGTCAGCAGGAATCATTGATGTTTAGTGGGTTTCTTGGAAAAATTTGCTAAGCCGATTATCTTCTTTTTTTTTTTTTTACAACAAACTGAATGAGAAGATAAAGAGCAG